TTTACAACCAATCCCACTTATACTACTTATTTTATTATTATTTCTCTCTCCTACCAACAATACTTTATATTATAAAAAAATCTTCTTTTGATCCCCACTCTACAACAGCCTAATGTTATGATTAATACAAAATGGAGGGAGTACATTTCAGTATACTGTCTGAAAAATAAAAAAAAGGAAAAAAAGGGGGGGGGGGGGTTTACACTCCCTTACCAAAATCTGAGAATTTGGCATATTGACAAAATACCTATTCCATTAGTTGTCTAATTTGAACCCAAATAAATGTGTCAAATACTCCATTTGTTGAAATTATTGATAAATAAACAAATGTCGATACATAAATATTTCAAATAGTTTATTTCTATCCTCATACGTAGTACAAGTATAATTTGAGGATGGAAGAACTAGGAAAGTGGATCACTAGAATAAGAGAACATGCATCCAATTGATTTCTATGGGCATTTATAGTAACAAAGTGGTACAAAATGTGGAGTGGATTTTGTGTTCTCACTATTTTCTTGTAAAGCGGCCTAAATCGAGAATTATGTATTTGGTACTTACTCTTTTTTTTTTTTTTTTTAATACTCATAATATTTTCCTAAAATGAAAAATGAAAATGTCAAAAATATTTGCAATATATTATAATTGATTTTTTTGTTTTTTTGGGTGAAAGTTACACTATTATCCTTATTAAGAGTCTACTTTACCTACTTAATTATACACCTATAGTCTCTCAATCTCATTTAATATGTGTTAAGTCATGTGATTATGTAAGACTCATTTTTCTTAAATATCGTGAAAAAGTGAGTATCGCAAGATAAGGTATTTTATAAGTATTAATTTATTAAAATAAAAAACCAATTTACGTTTTCTCATTGTATATTTGTATTATTGTATGGGCGGCTTCCCGACCTTCCGTGACTATCTAGCATACTTCACTAAAAGGTCCTCCTCACCTTTATAGTCCATTTTCTTAATGAGTCTAAAAAAAGCATCAAACCTTGTCAAACTACTTTCAAATCTTCCAATTTTTATAATTCCTACATTAGGTTTAGATTTGGATAATGTTTAATTATCTATTTATTTTTTAGTAAAGGAGTGCTACTCGAGCACTTACAAAATGATCCATCCTATTATACTCTAGTCCAAGTACATGCTTCATTACACTGTTTTGATAAGATTCAAAACATTAGAGCTAATAAATAATTGCAACATTAAGAATTTTAAATGATTTATGTAGTAATTCTATACACAATATTTTCATTCTCTTTCCACCACTTGATAATAATAAATTCGAATTTGAATCACACATACCTTATTTTGGCTTAACTTGAAATCTAGTTATATGCAGGCATATGGTGAATAGAGCCAATGTCTACTTAACAATCATCCGACTTTTCAAATTTAAGCTTACTAAAACTATATATCGACAAGTTGTTTTAAATAAACTATAAACAAGTAATTAACACTCCATCACTAAGACAATATGCTTCAGTCTATATCTTTGATTAGTGATAGATATGATCACTTAAAAACTTAACATTTTTGCCTTTAATTTTTTTTTTTTGTTTTTCAATTTTTATTTAGTTCCTTTTGTGTGGCCGTCAAAAGCTCTGTAATTCATCTGGAGTTTTTTTTTTTTTTTTTTTAATGCTTGGCACGTTATGCATAAATGCAAGAATCTTTGATATAATTTGACCCTTAAATTAAAATATAAGTTCAACCTAACGCCGATAATTGCAATTTCGCATGCACAAGAATGACATAGCTCGTGCTACTTGCTCCACTAAAGATTTTGTCATTCATGGTAGAGTAGTAATCATGCGACTCCCATATAATTGTTAGTTATGAAAATTAAAATAATATCATATGTTCACCTAGTTTTTGGTCTTTTCTTGGGAAGGTAAATTAGTGTTTTGAGTATCATATGCTATACGAACTATTTATATATTTTAATGATTTTTTTTATTAAATATACTTACCTCCGTTTTTTTTAGTTGACACGTATTTTTTTTTTAAAAGCGTTTTTTTTTAAGTTGACACGTTTCCTTTTTGAATAAGTTTTTTACTTTGCATTTACTAGCTACCTCACTTGCTTTATCATTCTCTCTCATCTCCTAAATATGTATGCCTAAATTGAATGTGTCAATTATATAGAAATGGAGGAAGTATATTATAGGTTATAAATAATTGCATATTAAGCATAAAGGTGAAAGATGATCGTACTAATCAATACATATTATGACCCTAGCATGGTAACAACCCACCTTATGCTACAAACATGGCCATGGAAAATCTCTCGAAAACAAGTAAAAGTAAAATGAAAATGAAATTTTATTGAAATCCTTTTTTTTTTTTTTTTTTGGTACAGCAAGCTAGGCCAAAAACTGAACAAATTTGGATTTAATGTGTCACTGCCGCGCTAAATTGGATAAGAATTATTTTCTGAGTTTTTATATATTTTCAATGTAATAAAGCCAATTTGTTTTTTTGTTGTTTAGAGAGTTACAATAGGCAAGGGTGAGAATCGATCCTAGGATCTCCTGGAATCGGGAGGGAAGGTCTAATCACTTGAGCTATCCCTCACTCTCAATAAAGCCAATTTGTAATTTGTCTAAACTTAATTTCCCTACAGTACAATACTTCCTCCGTTCTATTAATATTGCAACAAGGATGAAATTACGCATCCCAAAGCACATTTTATATGCTAAATATCTATAATTTTGTAAGAGTAAAATTTATAAGAAGTTGATATTGTGAAAGTATTTTATGAGACGAATCCAACAAGATCCCACATGACTATATTTTGCTTAACGTATAAATCATATTATATGATCAAACAAGAGTGATGAATAGTGCAAAAAGTCCATTATTGCAATATTAATAGAACGGAAGAAGTATATTTTTATCTAAACTTAATATATAATGATTATCAAAATAATATCTTAACCTATTTTGTTTGAACCTATTTAATATATATTGTCTGAAATAAGTCAAAATAAGTTGATGAAAACGAGGATTTAATTGCTTGTTAATTAACCTGACTCGACCATACCTAGAGACTAGAGCCCATCCATCTACACTAAGGCCAAGCTTGACTCCCAATCTATAGCTAGGTAGCCACCTCTAGTCTAGTTGAGCACTTTAGTTACTCCAATGGTTGACTATAAGTATAATAGGATATTGAGATTAAAGATAAGAGACAAGGTAGATCTTTCCCACCCGCACGCTTTCGGGTGATTTGTGGAGATTTCCTACAAAAATCATAACAAGAGAAGTAGGCAAAATGCTACAAGTAGGGACACAATATATAATACAATGTCTAAAAAATGTGAGATAATCTTGAGTTGCTACAAATCTTTAAGCACTTTTTTACTTAATGATGCTTAAAAAAAGTGGGATTTTGTGTGCATATACGGCCCCCTCTTTGTGAAGCACAAATATTGATTGTTGTTGGAAAAAAAAATTAAAGAAGGTGGGTAATAATACAACAAACACCAATATTGGCAATATAATGTGGAACGTAACTCGATTAGATTCACTGACTTTCCCTAGAAAAATCCCATGGCTTAAAAGTGTATTATCTTTATAACTTAACCAACCAAATTACTTGAATATGTTAGTCAGTTTAGTGTGCTCCACTTTCAGCTCAAATGAGTGGAATGAGTAGGTGGTTGTCAGATGTTGTGCATGAGGAAAAGGAAATTGAGAAATGGATTTATATAACAATTTAGACATGTTTTGATACTGTTACATTTGTATTTAGAGAATGCATTGGTCTGATCCAACGGTTAAGGCTTATGCAACGGTTTAATGGATTCAATAGACGTTGTCCATGTTGATCTAGTAGTCAAAAGTTATGGTACTAAAGTATAATTTTCCTCGTCTTCGCCATAAGAGATGCATTGTATCAAAGATCTTGATGATTTATGTACTTATATCCATCTATTATTGATACCAAGTGCAGTGTAGGCTTTGAATTTTTGGTACAGTGTAAATAATAATGTTATATGCTCTTAAAAATTGTCATGTAGAGAGACCATTAAAGTAATACTTAGTATGAAACTATCTGAATATGAATTTATCTGAATATAACTAAATCTGAATTAACTAACCCTTATATGAGCTTATATTTCTTGAAATAAATGCAATTTAGGTGAGCAATATATATGCCCCTAAGCTAATGAGAGAATATAGACCCATTAAGGGAATGTGCTATTCAGATCAAGTTTAATATTATTCAACTTGAGAAATTGTTCTGCACTATCTAGGAAGCATGTAAGCTACAAATGATCTCAATAGATCGAGCTTTGGGCTGCCCAAATAAAAATGAAGAGTTGGGTACAAGGGTTACCCAATATACGTTGGATAGAGTACATTTGAGATTTTACTAAGGTTGCATTTGGAAACAAGAAATTCATTTCAAATAACTAAATTGAATTTCTGGAATTGAAATGATGGATTTTAAATTCTAAATTTTTGTTTGGGAAACATAAGAATTTTAAGTATAGAAATTCAAATTATATGGGTAATCAATAATGTTGTCGCAATTCTACTCGATCGTCTATGCAAAAGACCCAGAGCAAGCCTGCAACTCTAAATTAAAATAAATTGCTAATGATGATTCAGAAAGGAAAAAAAACAAAAAAAACCTTATCTAAATTAATTAAATTGCAAAGAAAAATGATAAAGTTAATAGAATGGCATACAGGTTTCAAGGAGGAAAGGAAAGATTGTAAAGCTAAGCTTGCTTAAGCCTTTAATGGTGGCTGAGAGGAAGAGAGAGAGTCGGGGAGAGCAAATTTTGGATTTGAAATGACTACCTTTGGGAATGGATTTCAAATCCTATGGGCAAATCCAAATGCAAATACTTGGTATTCCCAAACATATGAGCTGGGCTAAATCCATCATTTCAAATGAAATGTTCAATACCAAACAGGCCATAAGATTATTTAAGAATTCATAAATAAGGGTTTAATAAATTTATAAACTTTAAAGACTGTCACAAACCAGAAAATTTCCTTCCCTGAATATCATCATTACGGAGTATATGTTGTTGATAAAGCATATCATTTCAATAAATAAACATAGCAATCGCTCTCTCTGTATGAAACAATTTTTCTAAATTCACTTGCCAAACTTGTATCTAAATATACGATGACTCTAATATATAGCTGTCTAAATCTATAATTAAGCCACTGCAATAAAAGAATTGAACTGGAACAGGGATCTCGATGTTGGACGTCAAAATTGCAGATTGAAAGAAGAACTCCTAATCCTTGTGATGCTAAATAGTAACGAAATCGGGTACGGAATGGGAGGTTCCTGCTTCCCCATGATAACCCAATCGAGCAATGACTTTGACTTTAAAACCAGGGACACCCTGTTTAACATAATGCCAAATAAAGACGTCAGGCTAAACTCCACGGACTTCAACACTTCATTCCGGAAACTGCACTTAGGTAACTCTCTCTCTCCGTCCCCAAGGTAAACATTAGTATGAGGCACAGGGTTAAAGGAAGGGGAAAAGCAGAGTAAATTTTTTTTTAAAAAAGGATAAAAAAAAACACTTGTACAATGTTAAGGAGTATTATGTTAGCTGAGTTGGTACTGTCTTTATTAGCACTCCATAATTGTTAACTTCAACTGGACAGAGATCTTAGAAAAAAGAACCTTGTAATGAGCAAAAAAAAAACAAAAATGATAAGCGAAGAAACCTAAACCTGTCTAAGGAAAATGTGTCTCGCAGCTGAGTCAGTATACTCATTGACAGGCTATCGGGAAGAGATCGTGTAGCTAGACTTGGACTTCATGGACTTGGCATGCTGAGCTCCGAAGCATACCACTCACAATAACCTGAAAGGAGATGATTAGGAAGATTAATCCACTGAGATCCACGAGCTAATGATCGCTCCAAAGTATAGTCACATAGTCAGGTTTAGGTACATACCTCAAGTTTCTTAGATCATTCTCCATAACAAACTCCACAACATTATAGCATGCCTGTTAAGATAACATGGAGACGTAGTTAGCAAACGAGTGGAAAAAAATATTCTTGTAGACATCCTCTATCCCACGAGACCTCCCACTTGATACCCTGTATCCCATCTAATTGTTATAGGCACCTAAATAAGTTAAAACAGATCAATACTATTCAAGTTTAGTAACGTCATTGAGGTAGCAAAACCATAAATCTATAGTAAGATGTGGTAACACCAAAGTAATATAGTTGGACATGGCAATAAACTAACACCAAGTGGGATACAAGTATAGAAGTTTCCTACTCTTTTAAGTGTCAAAGATTGATCACAATCAATATTTCACATCCAAGCTGTTTCTGGAAAACACTTTTAAGTCTTCCAGCTTTGATGGGTGGATGATTAGATTAGTATATTCATCCTCAGACACGAGAAAGGTTGTAAAGTTAGACCAACTCCCTGTAAAGATGACAATGCAACAGGAGAAAGGTTTCCACAATTAGACAGGAATGCAAGAAAATCAATTGACTGAAGGAAACGAATTCAATACAGTTCACAAAAAAACATACTACAGAATACAATCACAAGACAAATCAGGTAGTAAGCAATAACCCTATCCAACCCCTAAAGAAAAAAGAGGGAAAATAAATAACATTTGACCAGGATCAACATGTGCAATTTAGCACATAGTAAACCAATTAAAAAGCGGCAATTCTTGTACCTCCTCAAAGCCAATCTTCCAAGGAGTTTGTAACGCAATGATTCAGACTGATGAATGGCACAAAGCCCACTGTTGTTAAGTTTTTGAGCATAGAGCTTAACAGTATTCTATGGAAACTTAAACCTTTTTCTGCACAACAGAGGTCAATTCCCTAATCCTACGATCTTTGACACCTGAATTGTAAAAAAAGCAAATTATCAGCACTTGTTGAATCTCTATAAAAAAAAGTAAAAAGCCAATATCTGCCCCAATTCATTCCTTGTAGAAAAATATATTAAAGATTATTGTTACATTCAGGGCACTGAAACATGATCCCATGTCAATGATCAATCAAATCGACTGAATGCATACTTCAAATTGCCATAACCCCAACTAAAATGAAACTGTACTTTCACAAAGCTTATATCTTTTCTGTCCATGAATCCTTCAACGAAAACCTCTACTATGTAATGAACTGTCTTAAGGGAAGGGTATTACGAGTTGCTTAGTTAGTTAATAGTGATCAAATGTAGTACATGAGAAGAGTAAATAGGCAATGCACTGAGAGATGCCACCTGTGCACATGAGACAAAAGAACTCAGTCTAGAATCATCCTAGGGAGAGGGAGAATGTAAGTATAAAAAGGGAAGAGGGATAATGAGAAAGTAGGCAGAATTTTGGAGTGAATCCTTTGAGACTTGTGACCTAAAGTCACTATTGGAGAGTTGTGACCTCAAGTCACTAATATGAGCTTTGTAGGCTAAACCTACTACCTTATGTAAGAAATCATAAATCTGTTTAATCAAATTTCCAAGCTTTCCCCTTTAAATTTCCTCTTAATCAGTAAAGTGTACAAGTTAGATTTAAAGTCCATTACATATTATACTGAAACTCTATTCATCACTAGTAAATTGTCCCTAAATCGTGGCTGTAAATAGTAATTCTTTTCATCCACACTTCACCTGCTTCAGTACGAGCTCCTTATTTTACTGTTGCAAACAAATAGTGGACGTAACTTAATTCTACTACTCGAAAGTGCAGACAACACTATAAGGTAAGACTTCATTTTCAATATACTAGCAATTGGCATTGAAAAGATACAGAGTAGTGAAGAGTGAAAGCATCTTTTTCATTCCCAAACCACAATCCACCCCCTTTAAACCCTCCCCTGCCCGGAAAATAACGAAAACATGCATAACAAACCTTCTACAACATGATTAAGCTATATAAGAGAAAAGATGCAACACATAACAATGGAATGCAAGTACAAATACAGCCGTGCATATACCAATTCTACATTTCGACATTTTCTTCCAGATGATCTAACAACATGCTACAGCTTATCACACATTACATGAATGCCAAACTAGTTCAAGACATAAATCAATTGTTCCGAATGAGAAATGATGCAACACATAACAATGGAGTGCAAATACTAATACAGCAATGAATATACCAATTCTACATTTGAACATTTTCTTCCAGATGATCTAGCTACATTCTACGGCTTATCACACATTCCTGAATACCAAACTAGTTCGAGACATAAATCAATTGTTCCGAATTTCGCCTTACAGATGGAAATACCAATTCCTTATCAAATTACGAAGAATTAATTAAATTCCACATACACACATAATCAAACGGAACAACAATCCTATAGTATAAAGTAAAAAGATAAATAAATCATTTACCAAGAACATAGGAGTGACACGCACTTTAACACTAGAGTATTCATCTTCTGCCAATCTCCCTTGTCAGAACTTCATTAGAGCAAACCATCAGTCACTAACTACACCAAAATTCATCAAACCCACGTCAAAAAATCAGAAATTTGATCATAAAATTAGCATATAACATAATTTAACTGCTATAAATCCAATTAGGCAAGTTTACATTCAATTGGAAAGTATAAATCGTATAATTAAGGTACGTTTATAAAATAAAATTGAATACCTTTCGTATCTTTGATCATTTGGGTCGCCATGATTGATTGGATGTTTCCAGTAAACGAGCTCTGATTAAACAGAAAACCCTAAGAGTAAGAAGTTGTACTGTGATTCTTTGAAGAATGAAGAGAGTGAAGTTGTGAAATATGAGTAGCTTCTGGAACTCGTGAGGAAGGGCCATGATTTTGGTGTGGACGTTAAGTTGTTCACTGGGTTACATTTTTTTGTTGGATGTTGAATGAGCTTGCAAGGATTTTTTTGGCTTCCACACTAGTGCACTACACTAAACATTCATTTCCGATGTTGTTGTGCACTTGTGCGCATGTGACTATGTGAGGTATGTAATTTGGATCGATGCAAGAAACTAGCATAATTGTAGATTTACAATATTTTTACTTTTTAACGATCTATTTAGTTCAACTTTGCAAGTTAGACTTATTGAGAGTGAGGAAAAATCTTTAGCACCTTAGACCCTTAGTGGGATTTGATCATATGTTTTAAGTCATGAGGTTAAATCCATACCATTGGGTCAAGTTTTGCTTAATACATCTTCATTATTATGAAATGCGTCTATTGTTTTTATGTGTAGTCATATAAATGAAGTTTGTGTTTGCTAACTCCATAAAATACCACATAAAAACTCGAAAATAACATCTTATGTGCTAAGAATTGGACCATGTAAAATTAGAACTTGATTGAATTGAACGAATAATCTAGCTGATTCAGTTTCATATTGATCTAGTTATGCTTGATCTTTCTAAAATATGTCACTATATACTTGGATTAACCCGCTAAACAGTCAATCAAGTTTGATGCAGTAAGGATCCAATACACACCAACACAATAAAGATGGGAGAATCTAAACTACAAATTAATCCCACCAACATGGTTAAATCGAACCAAATACATTTTTTTAAAATTAACAAATTAAAACCTGCTTCCCAATCCATGAACCACCTAAACCATAATGGGTAATAGCACACATCCTTAGACTCACGATCTAGCCCAAGTCAAGCCAACACTACTCAAAACTGCGAACAACCCAACCCATTAACAAACTTAGTCCAATTATGTGTTATGGATCCTCCCCTAGTCCGCTACAAATCTTTCCTATACTAATTAACCTTTGTGACTAACCCTGATTGCAGCATTAGGTCATTTGGATGAAACATAAGATTAAGGCCAAGTAAGGTTAATTAGTAGCTAGAGTAGTCACATTAGTAAGAGTACTTGTTTGTTGAAGGTAATTGTAGGTAGTGGAATAGAGAAATAAAAGATAATTAAACTTAACAACTAATAAGGGAAAATGAGTGAAGAAGATCAAGAGAAGGGAAGAGTAAAACGGATATCGATATTTGATCATTATAAGGAAAATGATAATATGATTATATAAGACTTAGGCCCCATTCACTTTACCTTATTTTTATTGAACTGAAATTATTTTTGCTGAACTGAAATTATTTTTGCTGAACTTAAAGTATTTTTACTGAAATGAAATTAATTTTACTGAACTGAAATTATTTTTGCTGAACTAAAATTATTTTTACTGATTTTCTATTATATATATTCTTTAAAGTTACTGAATTTTACTGAACTAAAATTATTTCCACTAAACTGAACTTATTTTTACTAAACTGAAATTATTTTTACCGAGCCGAAATTTTTACTGAACTAAAATTATTTTTACTGAATTGAAATTATTTTTACTTAATATTATTTTTTTAAGGTGAAGTGAACAGGGCCTTAACTTAGATAAGCTTACAAGGTCGTGTTAAAAAGTCAAAATTCTATTATGCGTAATATCAATAAAGGAAGTGCTAAAACACACAATGAATATCCAAATTTTGAGGTCCACTTAGATAAAAGATTATTTGATATTGGTCACATTGCACTCATTCGTTGACAACTATAAACTTATAAACCTATAACCATACTCCGTATGAGTGTACTACACTTCACTTGTATAAACATATACTCGTATAAGTTATGCGACCTAAATCAAATTTGAGACCAACAGATTTGCCACTTTTCTCACTCGCTAAATATTCTATATTTTTATATTAATGAAAAATAAGCCGTAGAAATGGAGAGGGTAGTAAAGTCAATAAACAAAAACTAGGGTTTGTACGAGACGTTGGGCTTTGATACAGTATTTGTGTTGTTTTCCTTCAACAATTTTCAGTTCTTCTCTGCCGAGCTATACTCTCTTCAACCTGGCCATCTCCATAACTCGAAACCCTTTTTTCTGCGTTAAGAGAGAGAAAATCAAAGCAGCAGCAAGCCAGCAACAATGGAGTCAAGAGGTTTGACCCCGAAAGAGCAAGGCATCCAAATGATGCTTGCTGCTGATGTTCATCTTGGCACCAAAAATTGCGACTTTCAGATGGAGCGTTACACCCACAAACGCCGTTCTGACGGTATCTCTCTCTTATTCTGATTGAATTTATTGAGTTTTATAAGAATTAATCATATAAATTTGTCTTGCATTTTGTTTATTAGATTTAAATCTATGTTTTATATTCTGGGGTGTACTTATTTTTGTGTTAAAACTGTTTTAGAGTGATTAATGAGATAGAAATTGATGTTATTGTTGATGGGGTTTTGTTGTTTTTTGAAACAAATGCAATGCAATTTAAAGGTGTTAATTTGCAGTTGTTTCTGTATAAGAGGAATGTGGATGGGGTTATTACTAATTATGGATATTGCGCTTGCAATGCTGTTATAGTTTTGAGCTTATTATTCCATTTGTTTGGAATTAATAGTCATGTTGATAGTGTAATTCGAACTAGTAATGCGACGACTAAATACGAATAGTGGTATTTTAGGCTGTATTGGTTGGACAAGTTAGAGTCTGAATACTAGGAAGAATATAATAAGGATATGCTGGGTTAGTCCTTTTCTCTAATGCATTATGGGTTATACTCAAGTATTACACCCATTTCAAGTATTACACCCATTTCAGTTGTCCAATATGTGGTTTGTAGGCAAATGGAAGAGTCGATTCGATTGATTATAGGTTTTGGCTTTATAGATTTTATATTTGAAGACTTTTATACCAGTGTGTATGGTACCTAATTGTTGTGGAATAATGTATGAATGTAGTAGAATACATACTCTGTAATGGTATGTTGTTCTTCAAGCTACCTGAGACATGACAAGGTACATGGTGTTAGGGTGACCACTTTTCGAATTTTCATTTTTTTTTGGTTATCTGTTAGTTCAAGCAAGCTGCATTATTGGATATTAGTTTGAAAGTGTGAATATAAGAACAGAAGGTCGATTTTCCCTTTTTTGATTGGTTTAGATGTTTTTAATTTTGTCTCCCCTGCAACATTTCAATTCTGTGTGGATATTAGTTTCACTATTATGGTTCAAATTCCTAAACATTATTGGATAAGAGATGCTACACCTTATCTAAATCTGACAACATGTACTATCAGGTATTCACATCATAAATTTGGGAAAGACATGGGAAAAACTTCAATTGGCTGCTAGGGTTATTGTTGCTATTGAAAACCCTCAGGACATTATTGTTCAGTCAGCCAGGCCATACGGTCAGAGAGCTGTGCTGAAGTTTGCTCAGTACACTGGAGCCCAGGCTATTGCAGGAAGGCATACTCCTGGAACCTTCACCAATCAGCTTCAGACCAGTTTCTGTGAACCTCGTCTTCTCATTCTGACTGATCCACGTACCGATCACCAGGTTATTGCCTCATCTACATGTGCTAACATTTTTTTGAATTTATATTTCATCATTTATTGCTGTCTTGTTCATTCTTCTGATGTATAGCATTGAATTGTCTTCAGCCTATCAAAGAGGGTGCTCTTGGAAATATCCCTACCATTGCTTTCTGTGACACTGATTCACCTATGCGATATGTTGACATTGCCATCCCCGCTAACAACAAGGGCAGGCACAGCATTGGTTGTTTGTACTGGCTACTGGCTAGGATGGTTCTTCAAATGCGTGGAACCATTGGCGTTGGACAGAAATGGGATGTTATGGTGAGTTTAATTTTGGTGATTACTTAGCGGACATTGTATTGGTACCTTTTACGTAAAGTTGTGTTTGTGATATTACCACCTCTTCACTTTGCAATATGTGACGAGGCAAGGATTGTAGCTGACAACATTGTATTTATCCGTCTCTGGATTTGTTCTTGTGGTAATTTAAGTACAAGAGACACGGTGCCACAGTGTTATAGAGTGAAACTAGTTACTTCTACCTCTTTAATTTGCGATTCACAAGAAGTAACGCCAAGTATCCTGCTGTAATTGGGTACTTTGTCTGTTTAGCTGATATTAATATGCCTACTTTGTCTAGGTTGACCTGTTCTTTTATCGAGAGCCGGAAGAGCGAAAAGAAACAGAAGAGCAAGAAGCTGTTGTTGCTGACTACGGTGACTATGGTGGTGCTGCTCTCATTGGAGACCAGTGGGCTTCTGCTCCACTTCCTGAGGGGATTGCTTCAGCTGGTCAAATTCCTCTAGTTTCTGATGCTGAGTGGGCTACTGCTCCAGGTAACCATATTTCTTTTTTTTTTTTCATAGATGGGCTAAATTTCCCGTTGCGACTGTTGATTATGGAAAATCATTGGGAACTGTGAGCCTTTTTTTATTAAATCTAACATTTAGTGCTTTAACTTGATAATTTTAACTTGATCAGTGGAATGTCAGTATTTATTCTCAAGTTAGTGGATGATTTCACTCTTTCATATACACTATATGGTGCATCTCAAGTTCTCAACATAGACACATACATATGAATTTGCCTTTCTCAGATTGCAGTTGCGGGGGGGCCGGTGAATTAGCCCCTCTTCATAATGTTTTCACATTGGAATTCCACAGCTGCAATCCGAGAAAGGCAAATTCATATGTGAAAGTATTCATCTTCAGTCCAATTTAAAAACTATGTACAGAGTAGCATTCCTATACCAAATCTCATACCGCGAGTTAATCAACACTGTTCCCGTGTATAGAATTAACAATTCAATAAAATATACATCCAGTAGATGTAAGAGTTGGACTATGTATGTAGACTCACGAATCTTAGCTTTTGTAGTGTAAGTAGATGAGAGGAAACTGTGATGTGCCTACAGTGATTATTTTTGTCTGTGCTTTCTACAGCTCCAGTAGCAGCAGCAGCAGTATCAGCAGAAGCTCCAGTATCTTCGATTTCCGAAGGTTGGGAAGAGGTTGCTGCTCCACCCGCTTCTGGATGGTAATGAGCAGTAGTACAGGGGACAAAATCTTGTTCATCAAAGGCAACCCTCAAAATTTTGGCATTGAATTAAAAGCAACACACTTTGATACACTTCTAGTTGTAGACAATGAAGTAATGTGACACCAGTGATTGTAATCCAATCAGTGTTTTTGTTTTAATGAGATAGTTCATCATCTGAGTTTCAGAGATTAATGTCATTTTGTTGTAGTATGTTAGTTTATATGTTAATGTGCTACTGTTATAATTTATAATTCATTGTTAACCACGGTTTTTTTCATTATCCAAAGATATTGTATCATCACAGTATTATCACACTTAAATCCAAGTATTCAACCAGTCAGATGAATTTTTTGATACTTGAAAGAAAGATTGAATTTTATGGAAAACTTCATAAATTTGTGACAAGCTTAGTAGGAATGATTAGCGGTAAATCCAAGTTGATCTGCCAGATTAACGAATATCGATTAATAACACTAACAAAGCAACAAATTTATTAATGTAATTTCTTTTTAATTTCGCAAATCAAGTACGGGCTGCCATTGATGAATCTCAGCTTCAATGGATAATAAGGGGAAGCTCAGCTTCAATGGTGAACAGGGGAGGGAAAGCTCATCACCTACCCTTTAGGGTTAACCATACCCTTTATTTCTCAATTTGTTTTTTGGGTTTTCGTTGGTGTTGTGGATGTCGAAATTGAAGTAGCTTGAAGATGATTGGGAGAAAGAAGGTGTTGGTGATGTCCAAATCGAAGTGGCTTGAAGATGACTGGGAGGAAGAAGAAGATGAAGGTGGGTGTGAGGAAGGAGAAAGAACAAGATGAAGTTTAACGTCAGTTAAAAGCCCATCCAATGAAGTTTGTTGCAAATTACGCATATATCCCTGACTTACAATTTGAAAAGACTATAATACCCCCAAATAAACATAAAATGTTTATCTGGCAGATCAACTGGGTGTGGCTCAATGAGTATGGAGTGGTTTTTTCCTTCTCTTTTAAATTATGTTGCCATTAAAAGAAAATAGAGATACCTTTAACTTTTATTGAGACTAATATAAGCCACATTAATTTGATTTAATGTTAGGTCCTTTCCTAGTAGTGATTAATACGAGATAGAGGGAGTATTTACGAGGGGAAAAAAATTTGATGTACCCGAAAAAAAAGTCACCATAGTATAGTTTTACATCATTGCTTGTATCTTCCATAATTGGCGCAATTGCGACAATTTTCATTAGTAATTGGCAAATAAATATAGGAGAAAACTTAGAGATGGAATAACTATGTAGTATCTAAGGACAAGGATCAACTTTCCATTATTTTAACATCTTTATTGCACATATCACTTGTATACAGACAAATAATGTAGGTAAATTGGCCAGATATCATAAAATACCAGGAATACAAATTGGCCAGATATCATAAAATACACCAGGGATACAATAGTGGTATTATGTTAATTTTTTTGTTCAAACAATATTGAATTGTACAATAGGTCAATAGCTAACTCACTCAACCTTCCAAGAACACCAAGAATTACTACCCTACCAAGGCATAAGCCACATGATCTCATGGGGCAAATGCTGTTGGTCTTGTTTATATCAGTTTTTCCCCCAAATAGAATGCACTTTTTCACCATTGATGATGCCCCACATGATGGTCTAGAAATCCGAGTGATATAAACAAACCAAACTCGAATGTGTCAACGGAGTCCGACAAAGAGGGCATTCAGGCTTTTCATTGCACCATTCCATGATGCAGTTCCTACATACAAAGCATGCAGACCCATTAAATAAGAAATATGAAGAGAAAGGGTTTAGGTAAGAGTAGTCCTGTAGAGGAAAAGAAGCAATACCAACAAAATACATGGCCACAAGGTGTAGCAGTGGGATGCTCACGATTACCAAGACAAAGAGTGCATTTACTTGCTCCTTTAGCCTGATCAGAAAGAGGGTAGTATAACTGTATAAGTATGCAGTCTCAGAGAAGACGAAAAGTTAATACTTGTATTACACTTAGCAAGGAATAAAGAAGAAAGCAAAAGAAATTCTAATATGGTTTTCAAATTTCACCAATAATAATTGGATCATGGCTATTCAGACAATTGTGTAAAAAAAAATTCTAAGGATAAAGCTGACACAATAACTTTTTTTTCTTTAAATAATCTCAGCACCAAATGAAGGTCAAATGATCACCTCAGATGAAGTAGACTCTGCTAGAAAATTGGCTCTCTCCGACTCTGCAGTGATCAGGTCCCCTTCCTCATTCAGAACAGGTGTTCCTCTTCCTGCATAGAAACAGTAAGATATTTAGTTAACAAACCATCCATTTGAATCATCATTGCATTTTCTTTAGCACTTAGTTGTATAAGCTATAGTAGATTGAATACAACCTCTTCAGTTTTTATCCTAGGAAATCCAAGGCGAAGAGAGAGGAAGCTGATCCAACTAATGCCAAGATGATAAAAAAGAGTAACAAATCATAAATAGTGTATAACCTCTTATCAACCTGCCTAAAGCTTTGCCTTTAAAAAAAATCGCAACAAATAACAAGACATAAAAGACTCAAGGTAATAAAAAGGAACCTGCTGACTGTTGATAAGGCCCAAAAGACATCTGACTAGATGAACCTCCAAGGGAAGATAAATTGGTCTGCCGCAATCTTGCAGCAGCAATGACACATAACTGGATTAGAAGGAAAACTCCTAGTATTTGATATCTGCAGCAGACCACATTGAGAGGATTAGAGCTAGATTGTAAAGCTAATACTATCAGCTGATGATTTCAAATTTTCAATATATCAGGTAGTTTCAAAGAGGCTACTTCTTTAGACTAGCATGCGCGCAAAGGTAACGAGAAAAGCATTTGCTGATGCTCACATGTAAGGACATATAATGCATCTGATGATGCTGTGCAAATTAAATAAAAGTGATATGTTTCGCTTTTCCTTCTCAGAGATTATTATGTGCAGGACAAATCAGCTAAGTGCTCAACCCAACTTCATTAATCCGTACAAAGGCTCCATTCATCCATTCATACGTTACAGTATTTATCTCCTCTAAAGCAAAATTAATTGATGAATCCAAAACATTCAAACACATGCAATGACAGAAGTAACTTTATGAATATCTAATAGTGAAATAAGCATGAAACACAGAAACATTTTAAAAAGAGGTCAATAGCACATTTAACTGGGACAGATGCAATATTTTAGGGCCTCCATTTAAGGATATTACCACAAAAACGCTGCCATTTATATTCATAACATTTGTTCCCTTGAATTACAAAGTGTTTATGCCATACAAAGTGTAGTGCAATAAGCAAATAATGCATACATGTCTTGAATCTCAATTACAATACATGACAATTTCGATAATCTTTAATGAGACGTGGAAAACCAACAAAAGTATGAGATACCTTCAACAGTTCATCTTTTTCAAGTTGAAGCAGAAAGAGAAAAAATTAAAAATGAGGTGCAATGCCAAAAAAAAAAAAAAAAAATCATGCTAAAGATTAAGATGATGAAGAAAAATAGTGTAATACAGTTTCCAATTACGTAATCATAATTGTAATATGCTTTACTCCCAAAACTATCTCGGCACGCTTACCTTGGTCTTTGATTTGATGGTTTTCCAATAAACATGTAACGGATTCCAGATGCTCGTTTTGAGATATGATAGTAAAGTCCTGCAATTGAGCAATATCAATAATGTCACTAAATATCTGCAGTGTAATCATGCATAATAACTCCTCATATTTAAACAATTTACGTAAGCACCTTCAAAGTAGAAAAGCATAAGATTTGTTCGAAGAAACAGCTGCAAAACCTCACGTGCTACTGGGAGCACCTGAAAAACACACAGTAATCATGACATTAGCACAAAGGCACTAGAATTTATCTACTTGTAATAATAATATTGTGCTTGGCTCATAAATACAAGAGTTTAGTATCACAAAAGAGAAGATGTTCCATACCGTTGGCCATCTCTGAATTATGTACAGCCGCAATCTTCTAAATTTTTCTTTCAATCTAGAAAGGGATGATCTTGAGACCTGCGATGTGGACGATGTTGAGGTTTCACTGCCTGTTTGACTATTCGAAGGAGCATTGCTAACACTAAAATCATCAGAATGTGATTCAGTGAGGAACATGCCACGGGAAGCAATTCTGGAGCTGCATAAGACCAATAATCGAAGCTCTTAAGATAAAACCAATCACAAGCATTTACAAAAATGAGAAAGCAAAAGGTGTTCTACATGATTTAATCCAAGGAGCGTGACAAAACCTCGTTCTTTCTGCAATGTAAGGAACTGCTGTCTGATAAAGAATAAATAATGCACGTCTCGCAGGAGTTGGAGGAAGTCCATAAGTTCCAGCAATCTGCAATATCATCAATATAAGTCATGCCAAAGTATTACATGTATAGATTTTAAGACTTTTGACCTCCAAAATATCAGTTTAAGGGATTAGAAAGGTTTTAGTAGTAAAATAAGAAGAAACTGTGAAAATAACCAATTCTAAAAATTGATAATGACCAGCACAATTCAGAGAAGCAAAGAGCCAAAGATAGTGAAAATGATTAGACAGAGTTACATAACAAACAACAATAACTTGCTTGGCACTCAAGATTCTTCTAATGTTTAAAAATACATTCTTTTAATACAGCTAGCTCATAGTCACAATGCATCTTCAGGCAAATGCAAAAAACACCAGCATTAAATAAAATTTGGAGGCCGAAGAAGCAAAAATGATGCAAACATGGAACTTATTATAAAACGATAATCAAAACCAAAGTTACCTGAGCTATATCACAGTACTCTTCTCCCAAAGTCTGCTGGCCCGCACCTGTTGTAAGAATATAATAAAGCATCTGCCCTAGAAGTTTTGTCTGCACAAAATTGATGTCCAATGGTAAGGTCTCAATTGTTATACATCAAGATTATGAACCAAATATGTACGAATTATATTTTTCTCATTTGGAGTACATGGAAAGAGAGATATGCGTGAATACTCCAGTGAAACCTTAATTTCACTAAAAATGTCCCTAGCAACCTTCTCTTTTATCGAGTGCCATTATAGAACATTGCTTTGATTATATCCAAGTCACAGGCACCCGCTTCCCCTTCTCCGGCTACTACTCCCACCTTATTACCCTGGGAGCTCCCTCCTCCATGCTAAATTAAACTAAACTTAGAAGGCTCGGTGAAGCAAGTTTCAGCAGCAGCAGGTATCATTTCTACGACACTCAAAAAAGCCAACCTTACTACTACATGAGTACATGTTACTTCTTCCTAGGGAATATGCAATTAATCGCAGATGAAGCTATTGTTCTCCATCACGGTACACCTTCAGCTCCAGACAAGGGTAACCGCAATCTTTACATTAAAGGCGAAAATCTCCCTGTCCTTAATGCCGTTTTTAGGAAACTCAACCCCTACCCCCTCCCCCCTCCCCCCCCCCCCCCCCCCCAACTGCCACACATTCCTTCAACACTACAATTACTCGAAAATCATGTAAACCGAGCAGCAGATTCGATTATAATTTACAAATGCAGCCCACCTAGTGACTTCTAAATTCATTATACAAATGATTGTAATAAATCCCAAATCTCTTCAATTCTTCTCCTAGCTAACTCATCAGATATTCCCCAATTTTTTGATTCCTTCCTTCTCTTTCCCCCAATTTAATTTTGATACTATTGCAATTTTGACATCAACTTGATTTTTATTTTTCTTTTCAGCAATTCATACAGTACAATCATCAAAATAAAACTGAAAATTAACATTGAATATATTGACAATAGTACTAAAGCAAGTGATCAACCTCGTACCTCACTATGGTAAGCAACAGCAATCCTAGCACCTGAAACCTCAACCAAAAACACACATATTAATATCTCAAAAAAAAAAAAAAAGGCAAAGAAATTACAAGTAAGAGATTGGAGGAGAGAGAAAGAGAACCGAAGAGATGGCGGAAAGCATCGCGGCAAGCGTCGGAGACGAAGGAGGCGTAGTGGTCGTCTTTCTCGGCGGCTCTCATGATTTCCGGCTGTGCTGCTGCCGGGAACCCGCGTATTGGCTCTGGTTGGGCGCTGCTAGAGGTGGTTGTGGGGTCCATTCTTACCTCCTCTCCCATTTTACTCTCTCTCTCTCTCCTCTAATTCAAGATTTTGCTGATTATTTTTGGGGTGATTGAGGAAATTAGATGGTGAAATTTGTAATTTTGGTTGAGGTAGAGAACAAGGTTTTTCTTTTTTGAGAGACTTAGGAGGTATGGTCAAGTTCCTTTGACTTTTTTTTTTTCTTTTTTTAACAATGAGAACTTCGTAAATAAAAAAAAAAATAAAGCAACCAAACTATACAAAAGACAACCTTGTGTAAAGAAGCTAAAACAACACACCTAAACAAACCCATATATAGGGCTTTGTCACTCATCATTGGAGGACAATCAAAGAAAACAAAAACACCAGAAAAGTCTTGCATCGAACTATTTACAGCGGAGCTTAGTCAAACAAAAGCATTGTACCACATCAAAAATATAAACCGAGAGATGCCGAACTAATTGAAATATTCGAGATGGACAGAGTACGCCGAGTAACACCATTAAAGAAACCTGAAATTGGCATTAGCACTCACACAGAAGGAAATTCAAGATGGAAGTAGTTGAGAGACAAAATAACTGGAAAATGATTGCATCCTGTTGTTGAAGAGAGGACCTTTGACATCATTCCACTCCTAGGGATCGAAAAGCAAAACAGCATCCTGGGAGTCTAGGAACAAACCCAATAGAGTCGTATACTTTTATGACTCTACTATGAGAAACCGTGCATCCAAATGCAGGTTCCATTCCTGCTACTTCATCAACAGAAAGTGCAAGAAAATGGAGGACTTTGCTTACCCCAAATACTAAAGATGAGAGCCTCCTTCAAAATTTTGATAATTTTACTTGCTGCATTTTACTTGCTACGAAGTAAAAGATACAAGTAAAATAATTTTAAGTTTCCTTTAAAAAAAAAAGAAGTAAAAGATACAAGTCGTACTAGTACTTCAAATGCATGTATGAGTTAACCATGATTCCATAAATAATGAGTAGGATAAAGAATATTTAAGATGAAATTAAAAGCTAATTTCTCATAAAATAAAATAAATTTAAAATAAAATTAAAAGCTAGAGTTAGTTTATTAGGATTGCTAACGGCTAACCAACATACAGAGTAATGATGTTTAATGAGGATCTTTTCGGAAAAGTTGATTACAATTTCTTCCATTTCCTTTTAGCTGACACGTTTTCTTAGTCACGTTTGTCAATGCACAAATTCAATTATTAATATCTTTAATTACCGATAAACAAAAATTATAAAAAGTTGATATTTTGAAAATATATATCGTGACGAATCTAATAAGATACTATATGACTATATTTTTCATTACGTATAAATCACAAAACACAGTCAAAGGAAAGTGTGTGAATAGTGCTAAAGTTAAAACGTGTAAAAAAAAAAAAAAAAAAAAAAAAAAAAAAAAAAAGGTAGTATAAGAAAGATGATGTATACCTTTACTGACTAATAATATTTGGTTATACTAATTGACGTAGGTAAGTGATTGGTAGCTGCCAAATGAAATTATCTTATTTATCTACTCTGTAGTGTACAACTCATGGAACCAGGTTTTGTTATCAATTTGAACTAGTTCTTTCAAAAACAAAAAAAAGATTAAGAAAAGTAGGAGACAAAAAAAACCTTAACCACAAGTAGTCCCTAAATTTGGGAATCATAACATAAAATCCATTCATTAATTAGTAAAGATCTTAATCCACTATACACAAAAGGAAAATTTAAAAATTCGCCGTTTCCGGGGATCGAACCCGGGTCACCCGCGTGACAGGCGGGAATACTTACCACTATACTACAACGACTTCATTGATAATCAATCTTGACTTTAACTATTTATATTTATGTTTTAGTTCCTTGTAGCTTTAACACCACAAATTGAATGGCCAGTATTATTCATTTGTAGATAGACCATTCCTACAAGCCACAAGCTCCTCTTTCTCACTACCAATACCTCAAAGAAGATAATTACAGTCAATTTTGAAAGTGAGAGGGAGAATGGCAGTGTCATCGACGACGGCGGCATACATGCCTCACAGGGAATTGATGCCAACACTAGTAAAACCAACATATAGTACTACCCTTTTTTGGTTGAATAATAACATTACTAATAATGATGCTAATGTTGTTGGCACCAACAACTATGTTACACTTACACGAAAGGCGGTATGTTGGAGGTTTCTAGCAAGGAGCTCCGATGATGGTTCGGAGACAACTGCGACAGCCTCGGACGAGTCATGGGAAGGAGAAGGTGAAAGCAATCAAATAGAAATGCCTAAAGGACCTCCTTCTCTCATTTCTCCCCTTAATATTGAGAAGGCTCTTCGTGGCATTGGTAATTCATTCTTTCTACTTAAATGATTTGATCTAGTGATCATCGTCCATTATATTCTTTGCCTATTTATTTTCGATAGGTCTTGTATACAACTAGTGGTCTCGCTATGTGCAATTAGTGTATTTGTATACAACAAACTTATATTATTTACGCCGATTGCATAAAAGCAATTCAACAGTAAAATTCATAAATGTCTGAAAATTTATGTTATCAAACATTAACTTTGTAACGGGGTGATGTAACAAAACCCTCTGTCTTTCTCTTTAAAGGGGCGCAACTGATCCGTGAACATTTCGTTATGAAGGAACAAATGTAGCTATATGGACAGCAAATAGGCCACATATATGCTTATTAGATGTAATGTGATCAAGCCTATTAATCGGTCTATATGAAAGAGAATCATGAATTAATAGTGGGTCGATAATTGACAGGCCAATAAACGAACAAGGAAAAATGAGAAAGAAGAGAGATGTAGACAAAAGGGGCAGCACTTGAAGAGAATCATTAAGCGTTTCAGGAGCTGCCCAAAGAAACAGAAGTTAACATTAGAAACATATTTGAATCAGAATATAATAAGAATAGGGGTTGGTTTTGTGGTTTTTCTCATCTCATACAAAACTAAGCTCAAAAGTAGTTTAATACAGTATTTCCCAATCATTTTAGCTAAAACTTGTACTTAATACAAGGCCTGATAAAATCATGGTTTAGAATGGTGCAGCAATTACAGATGCAGACCATTATGCTAATCTGGGGCTTCGACGAGGATGCAGCTATGATCAGGTAAATAATGTCCCTATTTCATGTAGAATTGTACATACATTCGATCGTGTGCACATATATATGTTACTTCTTAAATTTCCTGTGTCAAACTAGTATATATTTCATGTTAGATTAGCAAAAGCTATGAAGGTTTTATATAATTGAATATTAAACCAGAATTACAAAGCTATATTTATAGCTAACAATGAACGAGATAATCCCACAAAGCTAGCTAACAACTATCAAGATAAACTAGAGGGATAAGTATATATCCTTATTATTAGGAAAGCTAGAGTATGATAAGCATTGACTGAATAAAATAATATGATAATTAGTTTATTCCTTTACATTTCATCCATCTCTCAATACATGCATACTTGATTTTATTTGTAAACTAAACTTAACCACATTTCATTGCTCTATATTACAACTATCATTTAGGAATAAATTTAAAATATTGTCATAACTCATATACATGAGGTATTATTTTACAACATTAGCTTCCTCTTATTCTCTTTTCCATGATGCGTTGACAAGTATAAAAGTCAAAATGATTGAGAAATGAAGGATTCATGTATGGTGCACATTAGCTCTATACGAAGCTAACTTCGATAACACTTAAAACTATATTTTCCTTGTATAATTGAGTAGGTAAGAGCTGCATACGAAACTAAAGTCAAGGAAATTTCAAGCCAAGAGATGGACGAGGAAGAACTCAACAAAGAATTGGAGCTTCTAAAGGTAACAAAAAGTTGACTAAAGTCATCTATTTGTCAACTACATACATGATGACAATGTTATTTATTTATGGGATATTTTCAATGGTAACCTCAACAATTGCTACGCACCAATGGTAACCCCCCTTTTTTTGGATTATATAAGATGACCCTAATTAAGAAATTTATCTCACATATGACATTAATGAGTGTTATTTACTTTAAAAAAAACTAACTATGGTTAACTAAGGTTAAATTATTTTAAAATAATAAAATAAAATCAATTTCAAAAATAGTTAAATTATTTTTTAAAGAAAAAAATAATTAAAATAAATAATTATTTAAACCACCACCAGCCCAAACCTTCCCCGCCGCCCCTCCTGCCCCGTGGCTCCGGTCACCAAGATCCCCAGCAGCGCCGACGGCTCGCCTGAACCCCCTCCCCCGAAGCACCAAACCGCCTCCTTCACCAAACTAGGCACCGTCACCCTCGAAAACCCCAGGTTCTGACCGTCGTATCCCACCCCCTGCCGGAGCACTCCCTTTCCCCGCCGAAAACACCCCCACCCTATTCCCACCTTTCCTTTTCCCCGATTCCCCCCTTCCCCTTTCCCCCTTCCTCTTCCTCTACCCCCTATTCAATTCGTTAGCTTTTGATTAAAATTAACGTAATTTGAATTTGGTTTTTAGATGAAGATGTGAGTGAAAATTGAAACCTGAGCAAGAACGCTGATCATTGCGCCGCGAATTTCATAAATTGGGTTGGGTGGGACTGTCAGACCACGTGGGTTGGGATTTGGGAAGGGGGGATGGCGTTTCGAGTTAGGGGTTAGCTGGGTTTCGTAAATTGGGTTGGGTGGGGCTGCCAAACCGTGGGGGGTTTCGGGGTTCGGTGGGTGGGGGGCTGCTGGACTGGGTGGAGTGGGTAGGGGGGTCTGATTAAGGTTCTGGGTTGGGTCAGGTGGTAGTGTCATGGTAAGGTGGTGTTGGTGAGGTGGTTGTGGGCAGCAGGGAGGTGTTTGGGGGGAGGCAACAAGGAGGTGGTTGGGGGAAGGGCGGCAAAGAGGTGGTTGGGGAGTGGGTTGGCCGGAACGGTGGAAAGTGAGGGGAAGGAGGAGAGGTTGGCTAGAATCAATGGGAGATTGGGGGTTGGGATTAATTTTTTTAATTTTTCTTTTTAAAAAAAAATATAAATATAACCATAGTTAATATTTAATGAAATAAGGTTATGAGTGGGATGAAATTGTTAACTAAGGTCATCTTGTATAATCCAAAAAAAGGGGGGTTAGTACCATTGGTGCGTAGTAATTGTTGGGGGTTACCATTAAGAATATCCCTATATTTATTTATGTATTTATTTATTTTAACATATTCACTTCTCTAGATCAATTTTTCATACTTTGATGATAAAATGATGTATAACCTCTAAACTGTGTTTATTTATTTTGTTATATAGAAACTAAAGATAAATTTCCATGGTTTATAGGAATCGTATGTTATATTGTCTTCTGAAGATGAAAGGAGGTTATATGATTGGAGCCTAGCAAGGAGC